CTGCTTTCCTTGTTTCTCAAACATTATGGGCTGTGTGTGTTGTTACATGCTTAAAACATCCATTCTAATATATATGTCCTTGTGAATACCATTTATTAAAACACAGGTTTTGTGATTCTCAACTATGTCTCCCACTGAAAGCAATGATAAACAATTTTTGATTGTAATCAAAGAGGAAGAAATAGGATGTGTGAATATAAATTTAGTAGGCATATCAGAAAGAATATATTTATATGCTGTGTGATTAGTTTACAGAACTCACTGTCATAGTATGTAGTAACAGTCAATATTTTGGATGGATTTAAAAATGATTCCTATTGGATCAATATAGCCCTATTTGAAGTAGCATATACCATGTAAATACAAGCAAAATATGCAAATATTTTAAGTTGGCACAATGAATACAGGCTGAAGAACTCATCTGCAAATATTACACATAGTATACCCATACTTACAAAAGCTACCAGTATCACTAAACAGATGTAATACAAAATACTATTGCTTATACTGAGATCCTTTGGGATGTAGTAAAATAAACACAAAAGGCTTAAAAAAGTGTCTGAGTACATGACATGTGTTGACAAGTGCTTTTTCCTGTGAAACCCATCTTGAAAATTTCCCCAAGTACATTTACCAATACTGGGTATTTCCAGGCAATTTCCCCTTTAAATTTTCCCATTTGCATTGTTATCAGAACACAGAAGGAACTCTGAAGTGTTTGAATTCAAGCCACAAAGCAAAAAGCATAAGGTAACCACTACCCTATACTAATTTCCTAGATTTTTCAACTGAACTGCATTTTAAAGTCTGTTTCACAAATGAAAACCATTAATCTTCATAAAGACATTTCCAATAAATGGAAATTCTGTGGTTATATGGCACCTGCACAGAATCATGGAATCAGCTTTACAGATGATCTCAGGGGCCTTATTTGGGGATGTCTCCTTAACCCAAACTTTACATGCAGAGGGGCCAAAGCCTCTCCTGTCTCGTAGGGCTACAAAAATTCCCAGCTAAACCCCAGTAGAGGTGCTGGCCAGTCAGTGTTGACTGTACTGAACTAGATGGACCAGCGCCTTGCCTCTCAGTGTAAGGCAATTTCTTATGTTCCTAACTTACCTCTTGCCCCAGTGATAGTTACCATAGAAGTATCTAATTCTCCCATATTTTAGAAAATACTGACAAGCTATTCTAGGTCAAAAAGATGTCTCAGGATTTAACTTAACTGTAGAATCTCTCTCACACACACACTCACGCCCTCAACATAGGGGGTATCTCCATTGTCTAAGAATCTAAAATGGAAGTGTGTGTGTAGGGATATTACACGGTTGGTTTATCAGTAGCTTTAAAAAAAGACACTCAAGAATCACCCTCCAAAGCTTCTGCCTGAAGCATCAGTAAGAGAGACTGGAGGCAAGGAATATCTTTTCTCACACATTCACCATCACACAAACACACACACAAACGCACAATCCAGGAGGGGTGATGTCACTGCTGGCCAATTGCAATGAGCCGTATGCACACATGCAAAGGGAGGGGCAGATGAGGACTCCACAGATGGCTCCAGCTGGGCCTAGCATTTGATTAATCGCTTGAATTACCCTCCTTTGCTACAAAATAATAAAAAGGGGGGAGGGGAAAGCCAGAACAAACACTAAAAAGCAATCCAGCTGCTGAGAGCTGCCCAGAAATAGAGTTTGAGGGAGGGTCTATTGTGAAAGGATGGCTGCTGAACTTAGAAAGACTGTACTTAGGCTCTAGAAGAGAACTGAGTCTGTATGTCATGAGGCAGAAGCCTGGTTTCTTGATCTTCTATTGTCGAGCTCAGTGGGCAAAGGTTTAAACTGCTGGATATGGTGTACCTGACAAGCAAGGGTTTTCCTGTTTACTGGCCTTGCTCCTGTGCCAGATATGCTAACCCGTAGCAGCTAAAGATTTTCCTACCATGCAGATACTGCAATAAAATAGTTTCTGCTGTTACAGGGAAAGGAGCACGGCTGGTATAAGGAAGCCGATAACAACATGTCTCCAGGCCGATACACACTTATCTTTGTTTGTGTACTTGAGAGTAAACTCCAGCAATAAATTCCTTTGGATTGAAATCTCCTAATTTCATGATGTCACCCTCCTTTTCCCTTTCATCTCTCTTCTCTTATGCCCACAACATGAATAAGCACTGCCCATTCAGACTGCTTCTGCTACAGGATACAGATGGACAGACCTCTGACTTGCAGGATCATTGTTTTCCACTAGAACCTAAAGGCCCATCAACCAGAGCTATATGCAAAATAGTGTCTCAGGAAAGGAAGCACAGAATTAGAAATGAGGTGCCTTGAAACACATAGCTCATGGATTTGCTTTCAGCGGCAGAACTGGAGCTTGCACAAAATCCTTTCATGTACAAAATGGCTCCTGTTCCCCACATCCAGTTTCCTGGATGTCGGTGTCCAATGGGCAAAGGATTTTTGCTGTCATTACTGTTAAACCACTGGGAGTCAGAAAGCTTTGCTGCTCTATAGGAAATCACTTGGAGATATACCAGTTGACTCCACTCTATTTTTTCCCCAGCCCTGCTACATAAGATGATCGAACAGCTCTAATTCCAAGGACTGAGAGTGTGGCTGCTTCTAAGTGTCATAATTGAGCTTTGCAGCTACTTCAATACACTGGTACTTTACTGGAGCACATGCCTGGCTTGAGGGGAGTATATGCTGGGGTTGCCTAGGGTGCCACTATTCTATGATCCTAAGCCTTCCATACCAAAGATGAAGAGGGCTGTATGCCAATCCCAGGGAACGTAGCTCAGCAAATCTGATGAATAGCAAAGTGGCTATGAACACAGGATACAGCAGACTCTGGAAAAGGAGGTTCATAGACTAGATCAATACTTTTGATAATGGAGCAGAGTTCTCTGAATTTCAGTTCGAAGGGAGGAAGTTGTGTCAGGAGCAAATCTATCCTGCTTCAGAACACTGACAACGAGACCACAGCCCACCAAAGACACACAAGTGCAGACAACCTTTATGTTCTTTCCCTTTGTATAGCCAAAGGATGGAGAATGATGGCTACTCCCTGCTCCCCTCTGCACATGATTTGCTCTGCATGCCATTATTTTCATTGACATAAATCCTACTTCAAAGGATTATCCCTGTTAACCCATGGCTCTTGAGGATAGATTACTCATCAGGCAATGAGTTCAGGGAGACACGAGGAGGGTGAATGGCTGGAAACACTGCCTGTACACTGAGATTTCTTCCACAGTAGTAGAAGTGCTACAGAGACACTACTTTTCTATTATTAACTTGAAGCAAGATGAAAGCAAAGGTTCTGTACTGCACTTAATATAGTACTGTATTATTGAATGATATGCTTACTCATGGCCAGGATCGTCTTGTTATGCTCACTCAGAACCCCCATTCAGCAAAGGTACTTTTCAATGTTAATTAAAAGCTTTCTGTTTGCAGGTTGAGCCTGTTTTTTGTGGTCCACTGAGTGTCTGTGGGATTACTGATTAATAGCCTTCTGTTCACCCCTCAAATGCCTCTCTTAATGGCCCATATTGACAAATTCTGTTCCAGTGAGGGCAGGGGTGGGGTCAGTTGGTGATTATATGACCTCACATTATTCTGATTATGACACTGCATGACAAAAAGGGGGAGGCAGTTCCATAGAATTCCCTGGAAATAAGTATATGAGATATTCGATCTGGTATCATCCCCTCCCCCTGCCATCAATTACTCAAATTATATCTACCATTTTGTTCCACGGTGTGTCATCAAATCATTGCAGGTAACCAATTAATAAATTACAGAGCTTCAATCTCACAATAAATTGAGGAACCCAGTAGTTACTTCTGACAACTCTGTCCATTTCCCCTACTTTCTGACTTACAGGTCCACAGGAGAGCATATCTCATAACTTCTATTTCTCTGCCTCTATCCTTTTATAAAAATGATGTTATTCTAGCTATTTGCTCTCCTTTCAATAAAGAGGTTGATTTGATTTTAATAATATAAATTTTAGTAAGAATGATCCAAAACAGAGGTTTCACACATACAAATCCAGCAACACTGAAAAGTGGCCCCTCTCACATGTTCTTGGGGGTTTCTTTGAAAGGCAGCAAAAGTGTTCATTCATACGAAGAAGCGTTGTTCACACTAGGAACTTGCTTCACTGCCTTCCCTTATATCATCATGTAGCCAAACCCGATTGGCTACAGAGCATCATGATGCCAACACATTTACTACATGATCCCACATTCTGGAGTGCCCCTGTGTTCTCCCAGAGGCAATATAAATAAGGGAAAATGCGTTAAAATAGCAGAGCAGAAGCAAAACACTTGGCAATGAACAGAAATGAAAAAAAAATCCTGAACATTCAAACCATGGAATTTGGGAGCAAACATTTTGAATCAAGAAAAGTAATACTACCCCCAAAATAAAACAGGTGAGCATTTGATGCTGACCTAATGACCTAACAGTGAAACACTATGCTAATGTTAACTCTACCTGATTCTCCTCTGCCCAATCCATTTTTTGGTCTAAGGTGGAAACTATACATTGCACGTAATGGGGCGATATTTATTTTTAAATGCTTTATTAAGCAACTGCTATGGCTGCAATTTGAAGTGGAATTTTGTGCATTGGGAGAGGGGGCCTCTTAATTCTTTCCCCTGGTACCTTTATTTGTTCCTAAACAAGCGTGGAAGCATTTAGGGGGAAACAACTTTCAGCAGAAAAACAGCATGAGAAGAAAGGATTAAGAAGACCCTCTCTTCTGTCCTACTTTGTTCTTCCCTTTGAAAGTGCGCCTTCAGCAGCTGCATTTGTAAAAGCAAGGAAGCATATGAAAAGGAGCACTGTGAAACATACGGTCCCAACTTAACGCAATGGCGTGCTAGGTCACTTATTGTAATGCTGCTCTTTAGGGTTGGGATTTATGGAACTAAAACTGAGTTACAGAAAGATCTGGGGAATCACCAAGGGGCCAAGTTCAAGTACCTTTATATTGGAGGCTGGCTGGATGAGCTCTGTGATGGATACCTTGTCTTGCTGAAGCCTTCTTTTGACCAGCTTGGAGCAGCAGATGTTGACAGAGCTGAGGACATGCCAGGAGTTGTACTCCACAAAGGAGCGGCTGTCAATGACCAACATACCTTCGGCCCCACTCCTCAAGAGGCTGGCAAGCTTCTTGGAATCCATCACTTGGCGTGGAAATCTGTCCCCGGCCATGGCGGACTTGGCCCTTCTGCAGCAAGTGGGAGAAGGGAGGAAATGCCCGGGGCTAAGGAAGCCAGCTCAGGTCTTCCAGAGGTGAAGGGGCTGGGGGAAGGGAGAGGCAGCAAGAAAGAGCCAAATTTTGCCACGCTGCTAAGGCCCTGTATGGAAAATCATTGTGCCAAACCTGTTGGGAAGTAGAGGCAGAGAGGAAGAGGGAGAGAGAGGGAGAGAGAAAGGAAGAAAAGTAGTCAGATGTTGTAAGTAACCAAACTGGCGCCATTTTATTCTATGCAAGGTTTTCCAGAACTAAGCTAGAGTTCTAAAGAAAGCACCAAAGTGCCATGCATGGCTTAATACATCCTTTATCCCCATGTTGTTGCCCTACAATTGCAATGAACTGGAATGCCCATTCCACCAATGTGGCTTTTGGATGATGGAAGTTGCAATCCAACACTTCTAGAGGGCACCCAGTTGGTGAAAACTGGCTTAACAAAACTGCTATACAGAGACAAGAGAATAAAGGAACGCTGATAGTACAGACAAGACTGGACTGAGGAATATTACTGTTTTGAGTTTTTGACTGTGATGCTGAGCCTCAAGACATCATTTCAACATTATAAATTAAAAAAAATATTTTAGTGGAAGCCTCACTGTTCTCTAATTCCATCCCATTCTACAAAGTGCAGGGGTTTTCAAACACATTCCTCTAAATTTATGAGGAACCCAGTAAGATCCCCTGTAATAATATTCAGCTGCCGAAGACTGTGTTATACATACCACTCTCAATTCCATCCCAACCAAGAACTCTAATGGCTTCTAAACTATAGTTGAAAGCTGGTTTACAAATCCTGGCTTGTTCAGAACTCCTCCAATCGAATGGGAAGCAATACCTGGCTTGTTTACTTAGTCCCATGAAGAGCGGAGCAAAACCACTGTAAAAGACTTGCTCACACTGCTCTTATACAAATCTATGATGTGACTTCATGTATAATACTGTGACAGTACTGGTCACCATTCCCAAAAGTATATTGTGCAGTAGCAAAGTGAGCAGAAAAGGATGACTAAAAGAATTAAGAGGTTGTAGTATCTCCCCCATGAAAAAAGCTTACAACATCTGGGATTTGTTTAGCTTACAAAAAAGGCAAGGAAGGGGAAACATGATAAAAGTGTACAAAATAGTGCATGTTGTGGAGAAAGTGGACAGGGAGTCATTTTTCTCCCCCTGTCATAACACTAGAACATGGAGCATTCTTTGAAGCTGACTGGTGAAATAATCAGGACAGATCAAAGCAGCATTTGCTCAGATGGTACATAGTTAAACTGCGAAATTCACTTCTACAAGATGTAGTAACAGTTGCCCATTTGGAGTGCTTTAAAACGTGATTTGATACATTCATGGAGGTTATAAATGGCTACTGCTCCTGACTGGCTTTATGCTACCTTTCAGCATTGGAGGCAACGCAGCAATATATGCCTACTGATGGGGAACATGGATGAGAAGATGCTGTTGCACTCACATCCTGCTTGTAGATTCCCATGGGCAGCCAAGTTGGCTACTCCGTGAACATTATGCTGGACTACACAGACACTTGATCTGATCCAGGGTGACTCTTCTTACCTTATGTTTTTAACAGGCCAAATGTGAATGCAGTACACAACCTTTCTGCGTAATAAGCCAGAATTGATGGCTTACTGTGACAACCAAGGAAGGCTAATGGTTCTTGCACATGCAAATTAAATCAGAAGAAATATAGGAATTTCTCACCATACTGAGATTTGCTGAAAAGTAATGAACAGAGGAATTCCCCTTCATAGCTTTTACCTGGCAAGTCACAGCACACCTCTTAAAAATTTGCCTGGCCTTCTTTAATTGCCAATGGGGGTGGGGGGTGTTTGTGTGCATAAAACCTTCAAGCAAAAGGGTTTTCAGTACTTCATTTGAAAGAAAAAAAGGTAACAAAAGATACACAAGTGTCTATTTCAATCACATTTCTAACCAATTCCTTTGCACCAATGACTTGTCATTGGCATATTATCATCTGCCCTAGCCCGTTTGTACTCCAGTCAACTTAGTCTACTTTTAAAATTATGGCTCTTTTTTTAAAAGAACACTCATATTTTCTGGGTTAATATCCTGCTATCATCCACCTTTGCCTTTGAGCAACTGGCTTCTCTGTAATGTGAACGCTGATAATCAACAACTAATATAAACGAAACCATTTTAAGGACCAGTTCAGATACAGGCAAAGCCTCATTTGCTCTTCAGGATTCATAACTAAGATTCTGTGGCCATCCTCTTCACCACTACCACACTGTACTTAAACCCCCATGATTCCTTCTTGTGAGGGCCCCAAGGCAACTGACATAGCTTCATTTGATCCTCACAACCACCCTGTGAAGTAGGTTAGGCTAAGAGGGAGTGACTAGTCGAAAGTCACCCAGAGAGTTTTCATGGCTAAATGGGGGCTAAAACCAAACTTCCCATGTCCCAGTCCAACAATGTAACCACCACACCATATTGGCTCCCAGTGTACATTCTTTACATGCCTGCTCAGAGTAAATCAATGGGACTTGCTCCCAGGCAAGTGGGCATATATACTTATTTTTTTATTTATTTTATTTATTTATTAAAACATTTTTATGCCGCCCCATTCACCGAAGCCTTGGGGCGGCTTACAACAATAAGTTAAAATAACATTTTAAAATATATACATTAAAATACAAATATATAATATAAAACATACAATATAAAACAAGCCACCCTGGCCAAATAAAATTCAATAATATTAACATTTAAAATACTGCTTAAATAAAAAGGTCTTCGCCTGGCGCCGAAAAACAAATAACAACGGCGCCAGGCGGATCTCTCTGGGGAGCACATTCCATAGCTCAGGCGCCACCGCTGAGAAAGCCCTCCTCCGAGTAACCACCCTCCTAACTTCTTCCACAGAGGGCTCCCGGAGAAGGGCCTCTCCCGCCGATCTCAGGGGGCGGCTGGGCATATAAGGATGTAAGCGCTCCTTATGCTGAAGCAACTCCCAGTAAACTTGCTGCTTAGACCCGCACACAATTATGTCATGTCATATCTGACTACCTGAACATGCTGCATGAACCTCAATTCTTGTTATGAAAACTCCAGTAAACCTCAGATCAATTTTCCCTGGCCTGGTGCCTCCAAAGGCACTGGACTGAAACTTCCGTAATGACCTAGGGTGGCTGGGAATGATAGGACTTGTAATCTAGCACAACTACAGAGCATTAGGTTGGTAAGGGATATGTTAGATCTTCACACACACGTTAGATTGCCTTGAAGTAAAAAGGCAAAGAAAGAAACCATGAAAATGATACTAGAAGCCAACATGTGAAGAAGAAATCTTTCTAATGAAATCTCAATCCATAATATCACCTCCTTGGTGTGTATTATTTATTTGTATGCTTGGAGAAAAGAGCCAATTACAGCAGCTCCTTTGGCAGTTGGCCCATTGATACCATCAGAAGTGGCTCAATATGGTCTCTCTGTTGTCCATGTTTTACTATTAGATTCGCTCTTGCACTTCAGGGCAAGCCTTCAAAACTAAGACAACCCTAATTAAGAGTGGTCTGAGAGGGAAAATGGAGGTTTCTGCTACCTTTATGTCACACTTCATTATGTGCTTTCTGTCTTGCTGAGGATCCCCTGCTGTACCTGAGCAACAGAACTGAAGGTAATCAGAAATGATGCAAATTAATTGGCTTCTTCCCATCCCCCTTGCATTCTTTGCCCCTTCAACTCATCCTTTTTTCTCCACTAGGTATGTGTGCAAAACTAGCTGTACATTTCTCTTCATTTCTTCAAATTCCATTCAGGAACAATATGAATTTGAAACAGATAGACAAAGGGGACCAATAAAAAGACAGATAATACAAGTAATGGAATCAGAATGCATTATCAGAATAAGATGGTGGACTAATCAGATACAGGACTATCACCCAGCAGAGGAATCTGATTGCCACACTTGTGGAATTGCACACCTTTTGTTGCACAAGTTTAAGAAGGACAATAAAAATGGTTTCTCAACTACTGACAGGACCCCTGACATACTGTTCGGGAACTTTGAAGGGACTGTCAGTGACTGCCAAAATGAGGACTGCAAGAGCAAGTTCTCAAGTCAGTTTTCACTACCTCAGGAAGAAAAATAAAATGATAAAGCCAAAAATGGTTTATGATCATGGAGGGAGACATCCAGCCAGTGCCTGCTACTTTCAAGTGCTACCTGGGCACTTGTGGTTAAGCTGGCATTTCTGGACACTCCAGGAGGCCTGGCAAGGGCAAGGGGTGTCTGCTGCTCCTGCAAGAAGAATCACTGACCAATTCTCTCCATGCATGATGAGGTCACTTGCCCAGTTCCAGATGATATGGCAACCCATCATGACTACAACCACCCCATCTACATCCCATGAGTTGTCAAGACTGCTTTTTGCCCTCAAATTAAGGAACTGTGTGGGAATTGGCAAAAGTTCACACTACACAACAACCCCTTGCTGCCTGGCAAGAACAGAAATGGGTTTGTAAAACATGACCAGATGAGCTGTCATGTTTAACGTACCCAAGTAATACATTCAGCTTGGTAGAGCCCTCATAACACAGACATGGTTAGAAACAATGAGACAGTTCTCAAGTTGAAATAGATGACTTCATATCCTCTTTAGATGCACAATAGAGTGGCAATAACATTATTTCTTCAAAAAGTTTGCTATAAAATTCTTTAAGCTTTACAGTGGAAAGTTTTCAGGAGAAGAATCCTATAATTTCCCCTTTCTTCCTGATCAAGCTGCCATTGAAAACTAACATCATCTTTGGAACTGACAAAAAAATATGTTTTACTTGACCCTTAGATAACTTGATTTAAACTTACAATTTAGCCTCAACTTGATTAGTAATTTAGCAGAATGTTCAATCTTTGTAAAAAAAAGAAATGTTAATTATCTCCATCACTTGGTTGTTCTCAAGGTGAATAGAATAAGGAGACACCTCTTGCATAAAAACAATTCTGATATGATGATACCTTTGTGGAACTGTCTCAGAACTGCTGCTGAGCCCACACAGAGGTAGGGGCATATCCACAAGAGGAGTGTACACTGCAAGAACTGTGAATGGAGGCATCCATTCACACTGTGAACCTAGTTTAAACATGACCCCAGAGA